GGACCGGTTAGAAAACTAGTGGGCTAGTAAACCAGGCGAGTTTGACAAATTAATACATTCCCCATATTTATTAATGTAAAGCATATATACATTTATGTGTGATTTGCACTCTTCCTTTGTAGAATGGGCTATACATTCGAACGATCGGCAGTTAAAATATGTGTGTAAGTCAAAAAATTCAGTCCACTAACAGTATATTAGATATTATGCATGTCTATGAAATGTGAGATGTAAACATGTTTACAATTTACTTTAGAAGATCATCGCTACTTTTCGGTTATAATATATAGACAATGAAGCTGTCGGTTTAGAAAGCCATAGTAGGAAATATTAATTTTGATGAGAAATAATAAAGCCAGCCATAGTAAATAAAACTTAAAGTAGGAAAGAGAAACAAATTATAATCTGTTGATATCAGACTATTTAAATAGCCCAGTATCTCTAGGACAGCTCAAATGGTTTGCCTTTTGTCCTTGAGTCGACCTTAGTTCATCAGTAACAATGAACTTGATTTTGAAATCAAAGTCAACTCACTTTTATGTAATTACCACGGATTATAATCGGTGTGAAAAGATTTATTAAAGTGGGTAGCATATATAGTATGGTTTTACGAATTCGATGTACCTAGCATACGCATAGATCGAGCTTCTAATTTCTCATTCTACTTCTCAAACTTATTTTTTTCTCAAATTCATTCTCGAGTCTTTTGTGAAATGAGATAAACAATTAAGTATTAATTCAGCCTTGAATCTAAGATCATATCATCATTTTTCTGATTATTTCTTTTTAAAAATACTATAAGCTGACAGACGGCTTATTATTTTGATAATACTGTTACAAGTTCAGCATTTAAAAGAAAACAGGCTTCCTGATTCTTTTCCCACACCATCCCATGTCATATGGTTAACTTAGCAATCACTACACGATTGTTACATATCTATATATATACGACATATGATTACTATGTTCTAATATTTCTCCTTATTTGCTCTCACTGTTTCTCTCCCTCTCTATAAACAATAAAGTAAAACACTTCGAAAATCATGCGAAATTTCAAATCATGTTTATCATTCGAAACTGATGAATCACACATTTATTCTAATGTATAGACCATACAGAGAGAAGAAAAATACTGGCAAAAATAAACGAGGAGTAATGAAAGAAAAACAACAGCAGAATGAGTGCACATTAATGCAGAATTCCATATTTTGTTACAGTTTTCTCTTCTTCGAATACCCGTTACTGAAAACAACACGTGTATAATATGAATCATCATTGATATTGATGGGGAGCTACTGTGAAAATGCATTGTTCCTGTTCACTCAAAAGTTCATTTAGATTTATCGTTTGAAGTTTGTTAGCTGAAATGTGATAATTGAAACCGCAGCTCAGAATAGCCTGTTCACTATTTGTAAAGAACGAACATTTTTAACAATACAGGCTTGCATTTGTGACAGATCCTAGGAAGACTGTTTATCTTAGTGCACTTCTTATTTATTTGTGTGAATAAACTTAATGATTGTTCTTATTTTTCTTAGTGAGATCATCTAATTGTGACACTGACAATTTTGAAAAAGATCAAACACCATATTCAGTAATCCTAACATACATTAACTGTATTTCATTCTGTTTAATTAGTTTTCAGTACATAAGTGGTTTTCGACTATTCGTATTATTATTGCTGTTATTATTATTAGTTTATTACAATAAGACACTTTTCCACAAGATAATTAAACTTTTAGAATGTAATTTGCATTCAGGCAGATCAGTGCTACTGCGTTTTCCTTGTGTCATAATCCACTTTCCAGCCAATCTATTCATGTTATTTCGAGTATGTCTTTTTTTATCGTTTCTTTCCTTCTGTCATCTAAATTTCGTTTAGCACTATATATTACACCTTTTTCTGAAGGTTAATTTTCTTTGTACACAGACATTTGATAGAGGACAATTTGGGATAATTGAGCAAAGAGAAGTAGTTTGTCTCGCTATAAAACTATTTAGTTTTGGTCGTCTGTGGCCTAATCAAGCTTGAAGCAGTTTGCTATTCAGTCATCAAACCAAATAGTTTTCGATAACATTGGAGTGTTAGACTGTGATCGGAATTATGCTGCATTTGGAATCAAAACTCATATTAAAAATAACACCGTGTTCAGTAAGTAACATTTCTGTGAATTAGTTTAATAAATATGTAAGATAGATAATGATCCATCCTAACCTGTTCAAAGTAAGGTTCGTGATCTATGAGCAAAATATTAAAAATAGTGGTAACGGGTACACAGTGTCAACTGATGAATCGTGACATCTAAGTCGATCACACCGCAGTCAACAGGCAATTGACACATCACATAAAAACAAATAAAGGAAGTGAAGAAAAATGAGAAGTCAGTGGAAGAAATATTGACATCAAAATGTTATTTTTATGCATGAAATTAAACTAAAACTTTATAGTCCTTCGGAATACTGGTTAAAACTCAAACTCAGATAGGACCTCTAGATTATTGATGACAATACAAATAAATTTGTTCAGACGTCCATTGAACAAAATCCAATGTAACATCAGTTGGAATAAAAGTATTCTGGTAAGCATCAAGATATGATTATAAACACCAAGGTATCAGTGAATATTTAACAAAACAAGCTAACTGGCATTCTTGCAGTCTATCTACTTGATATTCAAGATTTTTTATGAGTGTCCTAAGAATAGTACAACACTTTAACTATCCAATTTGAATCAGTTTGTGTAGGCTGCTCATGAATGTAAACCTGGGAGGGCAGAACATTTTAGAAGTGCTGAGATTAATTTGACCTGGCTGACGAATGATACTGATCAATGTGAGTGATTTGTGACATCGTGGGTCCGTCTGTAACATATAGCATTGTAGTACTTATACTCACTGTCTTGGTGCCTTTCACATAACTTATACTCACGTGAATATTATGTTCATTTTAAGTATGACCAAGTGGAAAAAGCACTTCGGATTGCATACTTTTTGAAAATATCAGCTTCCTATAAAAGAATAATGGTGGTTAATGAGTTGTCTGAGAGAAATACGAAACATCTTTGTTTTGTACATATTCAGACCCATGATCCACTACATAATAAGTGAAGAAGGGGAAAATAAGAGGGATTTCTTCAAAGAAAGCGAGATAGTTTGTAATGAAGTTTTTTACTGTATTTGCTTTTCTAAAGCAATATTATTTTATAGACTTTGTGATGAACAGAATCCATAAATTAAGGTTAAAGACATTTCAGTCTAAAAGTCATCAAAAACTTTATCTCTGATATAAGTGCAGAGCTTGGGCATTGTGGTAGAATGTAATTCCATACTAGATAAGTTTATTTTTAAATATCACACAGTGATACAGTATTAGTAACTGGATCACGTTTCGAGCATAAATTACTGTCACTCATAATCATGTCAGTTTTAGTCACACGGCTTCACAATTTGTCTCATATATATTTTCTCCCTTTCTCTCTCTCTCCAACTTCCCCTTGTTGTTTGTTGTTCCCTTTGTTGTTTCTAGGTTATTTCACTTAGCAGGGTCAATCATTCTACATCTAGCTAAATTTTTTACGTTCTAATAACCTTGTTTACCTCGATCTACTAATTTGACTTATATAACTGACCTAACAGTTATTACATGGTATCTGGTAAATTGTATTATTTTTCCTAACTGGATCTATTGAGTCCTTAATCCGACAAAGTTTAGCTCTGAGAGAGTTCAGCCAGTGCATTACATTCACTTGCATGTAATCACAAAATAGGGTGGGTGAGGCAGGGTGAGAGTATTAAAAAGCGATATAGTTAGTTGGAGAGAGAGGTTAATCATTGGAGCTTTGTTAATCGATTCAAAACCGCGCACATGCAATCGGAATGACGCAACACTTATACCGGAGATATGGAAAGTGGCTTAATGGTATACGAGCTCGCCTTGTAACCAGAAAGTCGTGGGTTCGAATCCTGGTGGGTGCGTACTGATGAAGAGTCCCAAACTGGGACGAAACATCTACCCAGTACTCCCAGGTTTTCCAATGGTTCTCTAACTAATGTCAGCTCATGATGAAAATCATGCAACCAATCAAATCCCTATAAATCAACACTTGTATATTTTTTGTTTGATGAAAAGCGCTGGATTGTACATGACTATGTACTTCACTGATTTATTTGAGAGCAACCACTAAATTCAAGTAGAGATGCAGACCAGAATAACGTTTAAGGAAATCGTAGAGTAAATCACCAAGAACATTTCTATATCTATAATATTTAACACCAATGAAAAATAAAACAAATGTTAGTTTAACAATGAGTGATTTGGGAAGTCTACTACATGAACTTGATTTTTTGATCTAATTTCGCGCCCGTGAAGGGGGCAGTGATGATACTCCCGTTACTGTAACAACAGAGTTATTACGTTTTAATAATAATAATAACTTCGTTTAATCCCTGAATTCTGTCTCACAGAATTAGGTCATATGTATAAACCGAATAAACAGCAAAATTGTGAAAGGAAATAGTATGCCGACTCTGAAAATAATATGTCTAGCTATAGTTTAACCAAAAATAGCCGATAGCACAGGTGGCTGCATCGAACTACCAACAAACATCTCTTAGAATAATCTTTGTTATGTGAATTGGTCTATTCAGTTGTTTTCTGACGCCGACGGTTTATCAGTAGACAACTGAAAAATGTCTAATGACAGCTTGATAGGTTTTTTCTTTGTCACCTTTTGCGACAGTCAGAAGTTATCCATAAAACTTTTCACACTTTGACTTCACAGAAAATTCTTACTGATCTGATTGGATTAGAATATGATGAGCTTACTAAGCCTTGACTGAACACCTTTTCTTGATAGACAAATAAAAATTATCTCATTTTATTGTCTATTGGTGAATTGTCTGTTAATATTAACCAATCAGAGGAAAGCAATATTTTGATAATTCTCATATGATTATTCTTTATTTCGAGAATAAATACTTCAAAATATAAAACGCTTACAATTCTTATGCTTGTGAACAATTTTTACTCATAAAATTCTCTCACAAACATGATAACATGTTAGTTTCGCTTCAGTTAACGATATATATGAACAGGATATTTACCTTGACAATTTTTATGTTAATAATCATTATCCAAGAAACAGTACCGATTTCGGTGAACAAAAGCAGTTATGTGAAAGTCTCATTATGTAATATTACCAGGATAAATAATAATTTGAACAAATCAGAAAAAGTTAACATTCGTGTCAGACGCCAAGTTGACCCTTCCATCCCAATAGTAACTTCAAATAATTTGATATATTCGGCTGAACTGCGAATTATTGCTAGTGCAGTATGCAAGTCACAGTGTTTGCAAAGATGTTCGGAGAAATTAATTAAGGACTCTACTACAGACAATATGGTGAGACAAAAGTGTTAATATTTTTATATGAATTATGATTGCTTACAGTGAATATAACACCTATGACACTTTCTTAGACAAAAACCAATTTCACTAGACTTAGAGTCACGTGACAATCAAGAGATTATAAAAGCAGACTTTTTCTGCAGCTTGTAGTTACCTGTTTAGTGGTAACTAGCAGTATCCTATTTGGGGCTCGTCAGTTCGATGTACTTCCACTGAAATGAGTAATGCTATTATCATACAGAGTAGTAGGTAGACAAAAATAACTTTTGCAATAATGTAAACATGTACCTATTTTAAGAAATGTGCTTTCTAATTAAATTAAAAGTGTTTGGAGCCAAAACTAGGGCTTAGTTCATAGTGAAAGTGTCACACTTTATATACGCAAATCTATACAGGACCAAGTAAGAAAAAATAAAGGTTTGCAAAAGGAATGATATTTCCTGAAATCTGTAGTTTGCAAGAATACGTTCTCATTCACTGGAATTATGCAACCATTTAGCTCTGCCGATTAGATTCAAAGAAACGATAATAACAATCCCCTGAAAAGATTACCTTAATTCTATGCTACTTGAAAATTACGGATCTGATTTAGTCTGTTAAACAGTGTTTAAGTTTATAATGTTATTCTAGAAATGTTACTTATAGTGGATTAACTATTTTAGCGGGGCTAATTTTTTCCCTAATTTAACTTTTTATGCAATACTTTGTAGCCGGACAATTAATATTTGCACCTATAATTCTCGTACTTTTTTACTTCTCAATAATCTGCGTGGATTTTTCGAATAAGCTGAAGTGCCTTTATCAGCAGCTATTAATTACAATATGCGATTTCTCTTTTCTTCCTTATACCAACTGGAAGAGTGAGAGTTATGTAAGATTTGTTTTACTGAAACATCCTTATCAAAAATAATTCATCAGGAGAAAAGTAAGGAAATTTCAGAAATCTACCAAATAGTGCTTATATCTTACACACACACACACACATCTAACACGGCGAGCATATGATTGTCAAAATTATTTATTAGTCATATGCGAAAAGTCCGTAGAAAACCAAAACTACTGAAAAGTTTTTATTTAAATTAAAATCACATGAGTCAGTAAGTAAGTACTTAAGAATTATTTATGCGTAATCGAAGATACGTGTGAAGACTAAATGACTGAGTTTATACTAGCAAAGGGCAAAGAATAAAAGGATTTTGTTCACATACATGCTGACTTTTTTCGTGAATGGAAAGACTTGTGTTTCACTAAACAATCACAGAGAAAAATGTTTGAGAATCTTCACTTAATTTATCACACCCAGAAAAATTCCTGTTGATACTCGTGTTTCAGATGGTTATGATCTCCTCTAGTTAACACACTGGTGGTGTGGTTCATGTCATGAACATAATGACAGAAAGCAATATGAAATACAAGCAGTGCTACCGTTAACGACCAAATCTTGTCCATGAAGTCTCAATACAATATGAGGAAGTTATTCAGTGGGCAATTCCCTCTCCAAAACTTGTAACGTTTAGAAAGTTAGGTACCTAAATTCATATAAAACTGTTAAAAGTTTGAGGGAAGATAAAAGTGAACAGCAGAAATGGAAGATTTTGCCTAGTTAATTTCCAGGTGTTGGTTTGTGGGGATGTGACTGCTTTCAAGACACACCATGAAATAACCTCACTTACAGAACCACTGGAAACCAGGAAGTATTTACTACACAACTGTTTCGTCTTAGTATGAGACTTTTAAATAGTACACATTCATTACTCCACAGATGGGAGAACCTAGGAATTTCAGGTTACAAGGCGAGCCCATTGACCATCAAGCTACTAGGGAAGAATCCAGTCGCCCATGAATTTTTTTTTCCTTCACTTTCCCCAGTAGAACATAGGGCTTCAAGCTATGGGCTTGAAGTTTCTGTAGCAGTTTTTATTTTACAGGATGGGGTTGCTAGCCTCATGCCCAACCTTTCCTCTTTACCAGAATTATTTCTGGCTTAGCGAGGTAAAGGAGTGCGTCGGCCGGGGATCGAACCCCGGACCATGTGCATGGTTGGCTTGTGGCTTCTGACAACTTGTGATATATGGTGAAACCACCAACCACTGTTATCAAAAAGTGTTTTTCCTCACATCTAACTTGACGAACCTCATTGGTTGTGACTCCTCACTACAGCTCCCGTCAATTTTATCCTGTAATCACCCACTAGTGAGCATTAGACTAATCTAACAGATTTATAAAATCGCCTACCTAAACAGAGGAGATATTTGAAAGAACTCGTTATTATTTCATTTTACCACTGATAGCTGAAAGTTATATTAAATTTGTTTTTATTTGATAATATCACTTTAAATTTGTTCAAATTAAGTGATTTCTAGCAAAATCACTTTATCAATCTAAATGCATAATTGGGTCTGATCACTTGGGGGCGAATTATCGTCTAATTTGACTTCAGTTGTTGCATTATCAATAAAAAAGTGTGTACAAAATGGTTAGCCATTTGTCAATGTCAATAATTTTCACTATACACATATACACCCCATAATCTAATTACACGATCATAATTTAATTATACTGTTTCAGTAAATATTCGTTATCTTCAGGAGACAGTTAAACACCTTAGGCAAAAATACAGGTAGTGGAAAAACAAAGAATACGCTTTGTCTCAACTTAAGAGGCAGACTGGAACTGGAAACAGCTTTCTATTAACAATTTAGCATTTGTTGCATGTAAAGAGCATCTAGAAGAAATCGTATGCTTTTTATGACAGTTTTTACCTTTCAGTTTTTTAAACTTACTATTCACAGTTGAAATGTATCGTCTTCAAAAGATAATTAACACGGCTAGGTTCGTTTTTAATATTATCTGAATAAACGTGCCGGTAGCAGGTATTCAAAAACTTCAATTAGGCATTCACAGTATCTATGTCTTCTGTCTGTTTAGTTCATGTTTGACAGTTATGTGAATGTTAGTGCTTATTAAGTGTAGGCTTACCGCCTTAGTTCGATCATGGGATGAATTGATTAGAGATATACTTTTTATTTCTTCATTTTTTTAAAAATTTCCATCCCTTTACCGTCCGAGTGGAACATAGGGCTTCAGGTTATAGGCTTGAAGTTTCAGTAGCAGTGGTGTTTATTTTTACTGGATGGGGTTGCTATCCTCATGGCCAACCTTCCCTCTTTACCAGTCTTATTACCTGCCTAAGGTGGTAAAGGAGTGCGTCGACCGGGGACCTAACCTCGGACCACATGTGGCGTGGTTGGCGATCATTCCAGACACACGACATATATGTTTCAGTAATCACCTAAAAATGTTGTTATTGTACTGAAAAAAGTTGTAAGCTAGGCAAGTTCATGTTCATGTACAAAGTTTGACTTATACATTTACAAGGAAAACAAGCTTGTTAATCAGTAAAGCCATTCTTAACCTTCTTACGCACTTGGATTACATTTTGCGTTCTTTTAAATAAATTGCAAGTATAATTGTTTTTAAATCCCAGTATTTGATGAACACCAATATTTTATACAAATTCATTTAAAAATCACCATAGTTACATTTAAAAAATTAACAGAAGACCCTCAAATATGTGTGATTATTGATGTATTAGTTCCAGTCACATTTCACTACTGATAATTAATATGGCAGTGGTGTATCATTTTATTAGACACAATCATATGCGAAATCTAACAGATGATAGTAACCATAGTAATTCGTGGAAATACTAAATGAAATGTTCAGCTAACTGTATGCATCTGTCTGACATCCTTCCTCCAGTTAACTAGACTTTAGTAGTAGATAAAATGGTATAAATCTAGCATTTCGTTCTGCATATGACTACTCCGTTCGGTCTAATTTAATATTGTCGAGATAACTAGTATTTGTCATGAAAAGTAGTACAAGACAACGAAAATCTAACATCCATATGTTGGCAGTTATTCAATCAGTCTTGTAGCACCATATATTCGAAAGATATAAAAAAAATAGAATATTTTCACAGGGTTTTGATATAAATTAATGTTCCTACACTGTAGAGAATTCGCTAGAGTAGAAATTGGCTAAATAAAAATCATAAACCATTTCCTTTCGATGACTACTTATGTATGGAATTCTAAGTCGGCTGTCGAGCATTGGTTTTGAATTAGAAATATTAGAATAAAGACATTATGCAACCTCATATTCTGAATGCTTTAATACCAGAGCTCGTTGTAACTTCTAAGATTTCTGTGCAGTATAGTCACAGTGCACTTCTACATTAGATATGTTCAATTAATGTTTATTAATGACTTATTTTGTTGCAGAAGTCTTCAAAAAAACACATTTACCTCATTTTATCTCAAGCCTTCATAAATGATTATTATTTAGCAAATCTTTGAACATAAATTTTTTAAGTATTGGGGGAACCGGACAACTGTTTCGTCCTAGTTTGAGACTCTTCATCAGTACGCACCCACCGGGGTTTGAACCCAGGACCTTTTGGTTACAAGGCGAGCTCGGATCCCAATGACTTAATGGTCTACGAGCTCGCCTTGTAACCAGAAGGTCTTGGTTTCGAACCCTGGTGGGTGCCTACCGATGAAGAGTCCCAAACTAGGACGAAACAGATGTCCAGTACCACAGGTTTTCCAATGTTTTTCTAACCAATGTCAGCTCATGATGAAATTCTGTAACCGATAAATTCTTTATTTTTTGGTAGAAGCTAAATTTAGACAAAAAGCATGTCCTGACTGATATCAGTTTTTTCTCGCATAATTTAAAATATTCCAATTTTCTAGTGGTAGTAAAGGTGAGTCAGTGATTCCATGGTAGAATGTTTGCCAACCAGTCATATGGTCTGGGTTTGACTCGCAGATGATGCAGTTCACTAGCCAACAGTTGTTCCGGGTAAGATGAGGCTAGCGATTCCATCACATAAAAACTGCCACCCTCACTGAAACTTCAACAGCTTGAAGCACTGTGTTCCTCTCAGAGTCACAAGGGAATGAGTAAAAAGGGATGGTAAGACTACG